TAAGGCAGCGTTCGTAAGAAACGTTTTCGTTCGACCGTTTTTTCTCCGACTTACTTTGCAAATGCGACTACCACGAAAAGGCCTTTTCATTTTTCGGTTTAATATATAGCCTATGACACTCAGAAAGAACGTGGCTTTCTATTGGTAAAAGAATTTTGAAAATCGGTTCAGTAGATCCAGAGATTACCCCCTACAACGTCACAAACTCACAAACTCACAAACTCACAAGATCACAAACTTTACCTCTTTATAATATTAGTATAGATATATATATATATAAATATAGTATGGTATAAGCCTTAAAGAAATATATGTATGTAGAAGTTGTGTGGTTTATAAACAACGATATTACTTGACAAAAAATATTCAAGGGATGAAAGAGCATATACACTAATACTTAATATCCACACTAATACTTAATATTATAAAACTGATAGTGTGTTTGTTTGTTTGTCCTTCTTTCACGTCGAAACTGATTGACGGATTGGCGTGATTTTTTGTGTGGCGATAGTTAGAGGGCTGAAGAGTTGCATAGGCTATTGGCTTTTTACCGTGCGATTATCTCATTCCTACGGGAACAAACGTTATAATACAAACCAAAAAATTATTTATGATCAGAATTTCTTGAAACTTGGTTATTAATACCTCTCTTCAATACAATTAAATAAATACGTGTATTTGCATTTTTCAAAATTCATCCCATAAGGGGGTAAAATAGGAGATGAAAGTTTGTATGAAAACTACCTTTTTAGTTATTTTGTAGTATGAGCGCGAGCGGAACCGCGGGTTCTGCTAGTATGTATATAATTCTTCTGTACGTGTGTTTGTCACCTTACTCCTCCTAAAGGGACTGGACCGATTTGGATGAAATTTTGTGCGTATATCAATTAGCCCCTCGATAGTTTGAAAACATAATTGGATCCGGTAGGTGGCGCTGCTGTTGGTGAGTCAAAGAGTTTGTTTTTTTAGTAGTTTAAACGCGGGCGAAGCCACAGGTACTGCTAGTATGGACTATATGTATATGGTATGAAATAAATAATTACATTTTTGATTATTTTTATAAAAATTAATAAATAATTGAGCACGATGTGTTCAAAAGTTAAAATCGTTCATGCTCACGTAGAGCTAATACCATATTTTTAGGGGTCCGTAGCCAAAGGCTAAAAATGTCCATATGTCACATAGATGTTACTCTGAAGATATTATTAGTGCTCGCTTACGCAAACTTAACTTTTTTTTATTTTTACTGTCTTTGAAATGAATGAATAGGGATTTTATTTTACTTTTAGGCTAATATTGTTAATAATTACGTAAGTAAAAAATATATCACAAATAAAATATTTTATGGTACGAAACCCTAGTTACACAAGTACCAGACTCGCACTTCTACGATTTTTTCATTTAATTCATTAGTATCTTTTTTAAATGTGATTTTTAAATAGTACCTACTACTTATTCAGTTATTTTTCACTTTTTAGTGCCTGAAAGCAGTATAGTAGTTCTAGCTTTTTATGCGCGTCTCTCCCGTGACCATGATTGCTATAAAGCATTCGAAACGTCGCGTCGGGAACCAAGGATCCAAATGAGTCCCCGAAAAAATTAGAAAATATAGTTTTATTTAAAATGATTACATAATATTAAAAAAATCGATATGCCAACATATAAATTCAATGGAAATTAAAACTGACCAAATTTTTAGTCCACACGAGACATTTTTTAGGCAACAAGCTATAGAAAAATAAGAATGGGATTTTATTTATGTAACTTGAAAAAGAAGGACTTTAGGTGTACGTAGCATTGAGTCTTTAAAAATACGTAGATGTTAGCTTGTTAGTATGTTAGATAAAAGCCCACATTAGCCGAACTACACGATTCTAAAGTCGTAACATTGTATGCGAGTTGTATCATTGTACTCTCTTCCTCTAGCCTTGAAAAAATGGTGTAGAAAAATGTGTCAAAAAAGAAATAGTGGAGTTTGCGTTTGAAATAATAAATACATACCTAAAATGAAAATTTATTTACAGAACATACCTACCTATGTTTAACATCTTTTAAGATACTGGGTATTTTGAGTTACGATTGTTAAAATTAAATTAATTTCCATATATCTAAGAAAAGATAAGAAATAATATGAAAAACTTATTTTTGCAAAGAATGCATGTATTGCGAAAAGAAATGTTTATTTCGTAGTTTGATCGCGGGTTCTACTAGTTTTTAAATAAATGCATTGCATTTACTTACAATTATATAAAAACGTACCACGGCTGAAGGGACGATGGAATGTCGTAGGTTTTTGATTTTTTTTTATTTGAAGTTTTTTTCGAGTCACACTAATTTTTCGTCGTAGGTTTTTTCATTTTTAATTACATATACTGTTATCTATAATAATATTATAAAGAGGTAAAGTTTGTGATCTTGTGAGTTTGTGAGTTTGTGACGTTGTAGGGGGTAATCTCTGGATCTACTGAACCGATTTTCAAAATTCTTTTACCAATAGAAAGCCACGTTCTTTCTGAGTGTCATAGGCTATATATTAACCCGAAAAATGAAAAGGCTTTTTCGTGGTAGTCGGATTTGCAAAGTAAGTCCGAGAAAAAACGGTCGAACGAAAACGTTTCTTACGAACGCTGCCTTAACGATGAGAGATATATGATTATGTTCCAGAGAAAAGTTGTAGAGCTTAATAATGCCTACAAAAAAGTCAGCGACAGCATATGTCTAACTTTTATATTTAAGTCACAAAAAGTAGTTTTTTATATTAAAAAAATTATTTAAATTGGTAGGTCATGTTTATTGGTCATATTATCAACAATTATGAATTCTTATCAAAATAAGTAAATTTATCGTCTAAAATGTTTAAAACAAAAGACTTTTCCCTTTTACTGCATATAATTTGGACAAATGGTTAAAGAGATAATTCAACATATTCGTAGGTATGGGCGAACCCGAGCGAGCTGTTTGTCTGTTTTTCTGTTTGTACGGGCTAATCTCCGAATCTATTGGACCGATTTAAATAAAATTTTGCATGGTGGTACCTTATATCCCCGGGCAATATCTTAGATACTTTTCATCCCGGAAAATTAAAGAGTTCCCGTGGGATAGTTAAAAAACTATAACAACTTATACAGCTTAGTACACAAAAACTACTGATTGGATTTTAATAAAACTTTACAATAATATAGTTCATACATCAGAATAACAAATAGGTAACTTTTTATCCCGGAAAAATGTACTTTTCCCGTGGGATAGATGTTTTTATTTATCTATAACGTATTATGTACACAACATAGAGCCCAAAACAACAGTTATTAAAAAAAATGTCTGTTTGTCTGTTTGCCTGTATGTCTGTTTGTCTGTTTTTGTGTGCGCGTTTTACGCGAAAAGTAATGTACCAATTTCAACGAAATTTGGTGAAGTGGTAACTTATTACTCGAGTCAACATTTAGGGTACCTTTTGTATGTATGTATGTATGTATTCAGCCCTTTTTAACGTACTGCTGGGCACGGGCCTGCCTTCAGTACGAGGTGGATCAGGCCATAGTCCACCACGCTGACCAAGTGCGGGTTGGTGGACTTGTTCTGTCAGACATGCAGGTTTTCCTTCACCGTTAAGACAAATGGTAATTGTGTCAGAAATGATTCGCACATGAAAATATCAGAGGTGCAAGACCCGGGATTTGAACTACTTGCTTCACTCGGTTTCCCAAGCGAGCGCGTTACCACTGGGATACCACTGCCTAGATGATGATGTTCTCCTAGCCGATTCCGGCCATGGCGGCCAATCTCAATGAGTACTTTACGACAGAGCAGTTGCCTAGATACCTTTTACTTCAAGAAAATCTTTCTTTCCCAAGGGAAAATACAATAACTGGTTTTATCGAGTCCTCTCTAGAAACATTCCGCTGGCTAAGCCTTAAGACATACATACATCAAAACAATATACTTAAAATTGTAGGTCTTGAAAAGTCCTACAGAAAAGTTCTGAATAGTATATGTCTATCTCCTAAGTTACACTCGCAATATTTATTCTTATCTATACCTATAATAAAACTTAGTCAAATCGATGTGCGCGTTTCACGCAAAAAGTACTCAACCGATTTTAACTTAATTTTGTATAGTGATAAAACTCAGTACTCGGGTCAACATTTAGGATACCTTTTACGACAGGCTAATTATTCATTCCCATGGGAAAACATAATAACTGGTTCTATCAAACCGTCCTTAGAAATGTATATGGCTAACGTTGGTTCAACCTTAAGAGATAGATCAAAACATTGTACAAGAAAATTGTAAGTCTTAAAAAGGCCTATAGAAAAGTTCTACATAGTATATGTCTATCTCCTAAGGTAAACTCGCTACAACTATTTTCATTATTATATATTACTGTTTTATTATACGTTATTTATTCTATCTGAATATACATATATGAATAATAAAACTGTAGGGGTCGAATGTCTGTACATAGATGATAGAAAAAAATGCTAAAAACCGAGTCAGTTCTCTTCTTACATCCCGTAAGGAGAGAAATAGAACAAATCCAGATTTTTTTCAATTTTTTTGTTTCTCTGTTTATACGGGCTAATCTCCGAAACTATTGAACCGATTTAAATGAAATTTGATACTTTTTATTCCGGAAAATTAAAGAGTTCCCGTGGGACAGTTAAAAACTATAGTAACTTAAACAGCTCACTACACAACAACTTATGCACCTAATTTAGTAATATTTGGTATGCTGATACCTTATATTGCAGGTTTAACAACAGGTTACTTTTTATCCCGGAAAAATAAACGGTTCCCGTGGGATAGATCTGTTTGTGCTTTTCTAGAGGTGAACCCGAGCGAAGCGAGGGTGAGCCGCTAGTTTTTAAATAATCTTCGTTTATTGATCAATTTTATTATCAGTTTTTGTGCGCGAATGTGTTATATTTAATTAATCATATATAATATTTATTATTAATTCTTGAATATAAATTAATATTCTTTTTGTAAAGTATACAAACCTGAGGTGCAGCGTGATGAAGTTGGGAGTATTGCATATGTGAGTTTTGTCCGCCAGCACTAGCAGCATGTTGACCATGAATCAATGGAATATCAAACTCTTCGTCTCCGAATGATGGTGTATGAAAAGTCTAAAACAAATTGCTCGTGATTATTACATAATTTACAAAAAGATATTAATTACATTTAACTAGGTATCAGAAAGTATATAATATACCTGAACTGATTGAGTGATTGAATTGTTATGTTTATAATGGTACGACTAACTTTCGGTGAAAGTACAACTTAAAAGTACAAAAGGAGGAGTCTAAGATATTTGTTAATTATGTCCAGTACATGACATATAATTATATATCAGTGAATAATATGCCTTTCTTTAATATTTTTTGATTAAATTGAAAATATAATTAAAACAACTATACTATTATATTACTAGCATTGCCCGCGACTCCACCCGCGTTCAGATGAACAAAAACCAAATTCTTAGGTTTTACATATTAGTATGTATACTCTTACACTACAGTTTTCGTATTTTTTCTCAGAAATGAGATATTTTCCCGCGGTAAAAAGTATTCTATATGTTGACCCGGATAATCAGCTATCACCATACCAAATTTCATCAAAATCCGTCCAGTAGTTTTTCTGTGATGCGGTAACAGACAGACAGACAGACAAAAATTCTAAAAACTATAGATTCGGCCTCTGTATCGATAATAATGTTTATTTTAATAAGATTTTCCAAAAAATATATATTGTACAGATTCGGCTTAGTATAGATATGTATAGATAAGAAAAAAACAAAAAGTTTTTTAAAATTAAATTATGTATTACTATATATTTACAAATAATGGCCTATGTGTTACTCTGATATATATAAGCTACTTGCGGCTCATCCTCGCTTCGCTCGGGTTCGCCTCTAGAAAATCAAAAGCAAATCTATCCCACGGGAACCGTACATTTTTCCGGGATAAAAAGTAGCCTATGTGCTATTCCAGGCTATAATGTATCTCTGTAATACGTTCAGCCATTCTGGCGTGTAAGAGCAACAAACATCCGTCCATTCATACTCGCATATTTTCACATTATTAATATTAGTATGGACTAGTAACACAAGCATAAATGCTTACAGATTCTTGGAAACAGCTTAATAGATTTGGCTAGTTTTAATTGTATAAAGTCATATATATGATGGTGTCATCGAATTTTCTTTGTAGGAAATATATATATATATATATATATATATATATATATATATATATATATATATATACGGCTATATACATATGTATCATACAGAAAAGAAAATAAATACTTCAATGTATTAAAAATTAATTTAAGTTAAACAACAGATAAGTTTTTTTAAGAACTTGTAAGGAATAAAGTACTTTATGTCAATTTAATTTTTTTTAACGTCAAGTGAATTTTCCTAAATATGTATATATTGGTATACTCAAAACATTTAATTATGAACTAAGAATAAAATAGAAATATCTTCTATACATAATATAGCGAATAATCTCTAAGTGTATTATATATTTAACAAGTTAAAGGTTAGGTCTGGAAGGTTAATATTAATATTTCTGTTTAGATGGATCACTAGGTATAGACTATATTATTATATATAGATATAGTTGTCAGTGATGTTGCGAGATATTTATCTATACTAATAGGTATTATAAAGAGGTAGTTTGTGAGTTTGTGACGTTGTAAGGGGTAATTTCTGGATCTACTAAACCGATTTAGATGAAATTTGCTAAGCAGATAGTTTGAGACCCTGGGAAAGACATAGGATACTTTTTATCCCGGAAATCATCTCTTAAGGGGATGAAAATGGGGATGAAAGTTTGTATTGGGAAGCTGGGGAGGAACCCGAGCGAAGCGAGTGTGAGTGGCTAGTATTAAATAAAACCGACCAAGAGCGAAACTGTTTCGCATACATAGGATTTCGTATACCTAGACGTAGTATTCAAATCCCTAGTAAGTGTCTTCTTGGTCACTTTTTTTTCTAGCCTTTGTACTGTAATTTGATCGAGCTGGATCTGTGTGTGTATCTATTAATAATTTTTGATTTTACAAAAAGACAAAAACGAAAAGAACACTAAAAGTTAATTTGTCAAGAATAAGGTAATTCATAAGGTGATCTTGTTAATTATTACATTTTTATATTTTTTTGTTACACGTTAAAGTGAGACTACCAATAATGGGGTAGTCTTTATATGGATAAAAAAAACTAGACTAACTAATTTCAGTAGGTCGGCTCTAGTCAGTATTTGGGTAAAGATATCAACTAATAAAGACACATTATAAATTTATTTAGAAGTTTCGGTATTGTAACCTAGAAAACTAAGCAATGTAGACTGTTTACATTTAAAGTTTAAGCGCGTACCTGCTTATCTAATTGAAACTTTATAGAAACTGTATAAATTACTAATGATAAATATTTTTAAGTAAGTAGGTAGGTATATGTGTACATATTTGTGATACTAGCATCCGCCTTTAGTTTTGTCGTGGTTAATTGAAACCAATTCTTAATAATCTGAATAAATAAAATGAATTATCTACACTAATTGCAGAGCATTTTTTATAAATTTACATTATGTTTAACTTGACTATGACTTCCAATTCCAAAAAGCAGGAGGTTCTCAATTCGTCGGAATCTTTTTTTATGTATGTTCACCGATTACTGGAAGACGCCTGAACCAATTTGGATTTATTTTTATTTTAAAGGGTATACTTCTCAGGTGGTTCCCTATAAATTTTATCGAAATCGGTCGAACGGTTTTTAAAAAAATCAACAATAAATATTTTTTTTAAATAAATTGTTTAATCGAATATGTTACTAAAAACTTTCTTCTTACAAATTACCTGCTTATTACGTCTACACTAAAAATGGAAAAATAAAAACATTTTTAACAAAAATTATTGGAAAATTGACGCCTAAAAACAGTTTTCACAATATCCCTTTTCCTACTCATTTAACGATGAAAATAGTTACGTATTAAGGGAAGCTTGAAAAAATTTCCTATAATTTATGTCACAATTTTTTTGTTGTAAAATGAATAGTTTTAGTGTTCGAGCACTGCAAAGTCGACTAAGCACGCGTTTTGATCAAAAAACTCATTTCCACACCACTATGCTAGATAGAATAAGTGGTGCATTTTTTATCATAGTATCTCTAATAAGCCTGATTTACAAATCAAATCAAAATATACTTTATTCAAAGAGACTTTTACAAGCACTTTTAAATTATCAATTTTTACATCGATCTATCGAAATTTATAAAATCTCCAATTTTCAAAATTTCCGGAAAACTTTCCAGGTAAAACTACCAAATGACTGGACTAATTGTATCTAAGAGCATAACAGTAACATGATAAAATATTTCGGGAACATATTTTGTTATTATGGAACCAAGTCTTGAATTCTGTCAGATTTTTTTATAATTTTTCGGCCTATACGAAGGTCATTCGAAAAGGGATGTATTGATTTTAACCTATTTTTTTATTATAATTATTGTGTTCAAATATGTATGTTTATACCTTAATTATATACCCTCGGCCCGCCTCATCGTTTTATAACGACTCATTTCGTGATATTTGAGAATAGCACACGTGAACGAAGTCATAGGCAAAACCGACTTCTAATGTATGAACCTATTAATTCGTCCAGTATTTTATTTATTGTAAGAACTGTTTCAATCTTTAATAAGTTTTGGTTTCATTTCATCCAATCACCCACCTAATTATGTATTTTTTTAATTAGAAAACCCTACAATTTATAGTAAAATAGTTAATACTAAACTGATAATATGTTTTAGCAAAATACTAACCTGATCATTCATCGCGTACACACCCTTTGTGTCGCGAGAAGCAGAGAGAGACAACTCAAGGCCCTCTGACCTCTGAAAAGACGAAAGGACAAAAATTAAATTTAATATTTTTAACACATTTTTATCCTACTAGCCCCCGTAGGTTAAGATTTTTTAAATTAAGTAATTTACTTTAAGCGTCATGACAACTGTCGATAATTTTGGCGCAGTCACACATGTTATTATGAAGAAAAAAAATACGAGTTTAAGGTACCTAATATCTTCAAATATTTTTGTACAATTAATTTACTTTGTAGTTATCGGAATTGGTATGATTTCATCGTTTATCGTCCAATAAGAAATAAATTCGGAGAAAATATGACGTGACAAAATAATGGATAGACTGGTGGATAAGCAAGGATATACAAAATATTATAGTGTATATTACTAGAGATTAAAGAGTTTATATTTTGAGATTTTCTTTTAACTTCTTAAGTAGAATTAAAATAAGCAGAATACTCGCATATTTCTTTTGAAGTCGATAACGGTTTGTATTCAGTTAACTAAGATTTCTATTGTTTTTAGATAAGTTTTCTCTTAAGAAATTAATAAAATTATCATTTCTTTAAAAGTAAATTTTAAACATACTACTATTAGGTACTACATACATACTTTAAGAAGAGATTTGTATCAAATGTAATCATAACATAATAAATATTAATAAGCTTTAAGTTGTAGGCCCCTGTGAAAATACAAGTATCGTCAAATTAAGGAACATAATATAAGCGTACTGGGTATTGCCAACGTCATCCCCGTTATTTTTACAAGCTTCTATTTAACTTGCAATGTTTGTATGTATGTTTTTTCGGGTCAAATTTTGCAACTGAATTTTAAAGCAGTTATCCTCGACCGATTGAGCTGAAATTTTGCATACACGTTTAGTTTAGATGACATTGCATGGTCATTCTAAATCCAACATGGCGGAGTCTCAACGATGGTACTGTGTTTTTTTTATGCACCCCCATCACGTGGATATCGAATGAAAAGTTTTGCTGAGAAGAATAATACCGAAAAATAATCATCATATAAATTATATAATGTACTCGTAATAAATGGGTTTGATTTAATTTGAAGTTTATTTCTTAATCTTTAAATTAAATCAACCCCATTTATTACATTACATTATTTATATGATGTTAGCGACTCTCCCTCGCTCCGCTCGGATTCGTCCCTAGTTAGTAGTTACGTTTTAACGTTTAGTATAGATTTCTCAGGGCTGAGATATTTTCCCGCAGTAAAAAGTATTTTATATGTTGACCCGGATAACTAACTATACTAAATTTTATCAAAATCTGTCCAGTGGTTTTTTCGTGATGCGGTCACAAAAAGACAAAAATTCTAAAAACTGTAGATTCCGCCTCTGTATCGATAATAATGACTATTTCAATAAGATTTTCCAAAAAATATCTAATGTACAGATTTGACTTAGTTAGAATTTTATTATTGTAAGTCCGGGAGAGATGCCTATTAAATTTAAATTCTAATTTTAAATTAATTTACCGTGCAGGTTGTTCCTGGTACTTCTTTCACGGCAGAGAGGACCGTGGGAACAACCTCATGGCTTTTGTAGTCTGTTTCGGCAGACGAGGGAGGTTTTGTTGAGTTTTAGTGGGTAGTATTGGCTTTTCTAGCCAGTGAGTCCCACATAACCACCTGTACGTCTACAGGTAGTGTAGTACTAATAGATAGTATAATAATAATGTCCTCCTGACCGATACCGGCCAAGGAGAACAATCTCATTGAGACTAGCCATTTGCGCAGGAGATATTATAGTGCACAAGTGTACGCACAGACATAAGTGCACTCTTTATTCCTGTTGTGAGTATTCTCATACTCCGGTGGGACTCGACACGACCGGTGAGAGTTGGCGCAGGACTGACCGCCTTACGTGCGTTTCGACTCACAGGGGTGAAACACCGCCAACTTCCCAACTCCGGACTGTTACTGAGACTCAATAACTATACTTGACCCGACCCGGGACTCGAACCAAGAACCTCCGGGTGTGCAGCCGATCATACTAGCCAACTACACCACTGAGGCAGCAGTAGATAATGTACAGTATGTGTAAATGCATATAATAAAAGGATATTTGCGCCACTATGCAAAGTACCTACAAATATAAATTGCCCTCACACTTGTGGAGAGTATTATAACGCCACTAAGACGAAATGCGACTGATTACAGTGTGTTCATTGTGGTTTCATGAAGACTGCAGGGAAGATTCAGCGGAATGCCTAAAGTGTAATGACTGATTATGCACTAATTACTTGTGAGTATCTAACCCTGACATCTATAGGCAACTAACCCACATGTCTGGGTGAGATGCTTATTTTCTATTATTTAAAAAAAAAAACATTTTTAATTTAAAATATATTGCACAAAAGTTCCAAATTTAATCTGAATAGCATAAATAAACATTGAATTAAAATACACTATGCGTATTTTATGTAATATCTTAAATATATAATTAATATTGATATTTTTTAAAACTCTTATAGGCAACTCTCCCTGACTTGCCATATATCTTATATATATAAAAGAAAGTCGTGTTAGTTACACTATTTATAACTCAAGAACTGCTGAACCGATTTGGCTGAAAATTAGTGGGGAGGTAGTTTAGAACCAAGAGACGGATATAGGATAATTTTTATCCCGTTCGATTGCGTGTCCGTTGTGACGTGACATAAAACTCAAGAACGGCTAGATATTTGAATTTTTGGATTTCTTAGTTAGTCCGGAATAGGATAATAAATATTAAAACATGAGAAAAATTTACGAAAAAAAAATTTGTATGGCTAACGCTGGCTAATAACAATTTATATCTATTTAAAACGTACCTAGCGACGAACCCGAGCGAAGCGAGGGTGAGCCGCTAGTGTATAGATAAAAGCTTATTTTTAAGAATGTTTTTTTAATATTAATTTATCATACTAATGAATCAAGATCATTCAAATATTTGTCTCGTTTCAAAGATAAATCTTGCTATATTCATATATGTGGTATTTAATTATATTTTATCAACAATGAAAAAATCATTTTTGTTCCTTTCGGTGTCGAGACCCTTGGTCCGTGGGGTCCTAGCGCTATAAGACTTTTTAAGGAAATAGCAAAAAGGTTATTCGACGTCACAGGAGACCGAAGAGCTGGCAGCTACTTCGGACAAAGAATTAGTCTAGCTATTCAAAGGGGGAACGCTGCCAGTATCTTCGGAACCTTGCCTAAAGGGACTCCTTTTAATAATATTTTTTAGTTATAATATTATGTATATATACTTAAGTTTTTTTTAGTTTAATGTAATTTATCTTATTTATATTTTAAATTATTATGGTTTAATGTATTAATATGTTATATCGCTTAATAAATTTATCTTTCTTTTTACTTTATGATATGAAAAAAAATCATTCAAGTATAATATAAGACTAGAAGATTGTCCCCGTATTATTTTTTTGACACCTCTGCGTGTTTACCTCCATTATACAAATATGTAGATTGTCAAAGTTTCAACCTTTTAGATGAAGCCGTTTAGATTGGTTAGTGATAAATAATAATACATGGATGAAATAAAAACACTGTTCACGTTATCAAAGCATTTTCTTATATAATCAAATGAAATCTTCCCTGTAATAACCGGTATCGCTACGTAAACAACCACTTTATTTACTTCCCAAGTTAGCTATTCACTGAAGTAAAAGCATATACCCACAACACTACCATATAACTAAGTTGTCCTATAATTGAACATAATCGAGGTGGAAGATCAACGTCTGGAAAACATTTAATTTACCTCGATGTTGAATTTATTACAGCGTGCCACGATGGATACTTATTTCCTGGCAACATGATCGCCATACAACAATCTCGTTAACTTTCCGACATGATAGTTAAGCTTAATTTTATTATATTTTATTTTAATTTTATACATCATTTTTTTCTCGTTTACAATTTTTAGATATATCTATCGGCAAAGAAAATGTATTTTACTGGAATTTTCCATATGCATGCAGTTACTGAATATACACAATATTATGTAAGCAAAATAAAGTAAAATTAGTAGTAAGATTTCACTCGAATCAAATCTCAAATGTTTAAAGAATGTAAGGTATAAAAGACCTATCATGAACTTTTACATAGCGATTTATTTCCGATGCATCTCAGTTTAGATTCTCTAAATGAATAGCTAATTTTCGTACCATCAACAATGTTCTACGTTGGATAGTAACTGAATTGAAATAATGCAAATTGAATAAATGACATTAAAGTTAGAGGTTCATTTTAGATTTCGTTTAGGCTGCAACCTAAATTGAACGTCTTATGAAGCTTATGTTACGAAATGTCGAAATGTTTCATTTTAAACCTTCAGGTAAGTAGTATATAAATTTTCAACCATACGCAGATAAAGTCGGGTAAATAAGCACACAATTCCTTCAATACAAGCGTAAAAATCTGAATATTTGCTGACAACAGCAGTTCTTCTTATAAGAGAATGACTTATGCGAATATGTTTTTTTAAATCGAATTAGTTTAATAAAGTCTAGTATGTTTTGAATTATAAATTATAATATAAAACGTTTTTATATTAATTTATGTTTTATTCATGATTGTCATGATAATAAAAACAAAGAGATTTTTGTAAATACTGTTAAAGTTTTGAGCACCACCGATAACTAAAGTGCCATAGTTGCGACTGAGATTTATACAGGTTTACTGCTACGTGTAGATATGAGATCTATGGAGTTCGAACATGTGACTATCTTAATAGGCTTGATAATTTTTGTTACAACTCAGATATATACTTAATTGTAAAGAAAAACTTAAATATATAATTGAATCAATTAAACAGTTAACATTTTACTTTAATAATGATAGTGTTTATATTTTATTATACTTATACAATTAAATGTTAAGCAGCAATTACTAGATTTCTTAAATTTATTTTTAATCCTTATATTACAACATCTAATTGATAATTGCAAAGCTTATTAAAGTATTAAATTATTATATATTATATGTTTAACTGTACTTTTATTGTCGAAAATATTAATTACTAGCGGCTCACCCTCGCTTCGCTCGGGTTCACCTCTAGAAAAGCACAAACAGATCTATCCCACGGGAACCGTTTATTTTTCCGGGATAAAAAGTAACCTGTTGTTAAACCTGCAATATAAGGTATCAGCATACCAAATATTACTAAATTAGGTGCATAAGTTGTTGTGTAGTGAGCTGTTTAAGTTACTATAGTTTTTAACTATCCCACGGGAACTCTTTAATTTTCCGGAATAAAAAGTATCAAATTTCATTTAAATCGGTTCAATAGTTTCGGAGATTAGCCCGTATAAACAGAGAAACAAAAAAATTGAGAAAAATCTGGATTTGTTCTATTTCTCTCCTTACGGGATGTAAGAAGAGAACTGACTCGGTTTTTAGCATTTTTTTCTATCATCTATGTACAGACATTCGACCCCTACAGTTTTATTATTCATATATGTATATTCAGATAGAATAAATAACGTATAATAAAACAGTAATACATAATAATGCAAATAGTTGTAGCGAGTGTACCTTAGGAGATAGACATATACTATGTAGAACTTTTCTATAGGTCTTTTTAAGACTTACAATTTTCTTGTACAATGTTTTGATCTATCTCTTAAGGTTGAACCAACGTTAGCCATATAAATTTCTAAGGAGGGTTCAATAGAACCAGTTATTATGTTTTCCCATGGGAATGAATAATTAGCCTGTCGTAAAAGGTATCCTAAATGTTGACCCGAGTACTGAGTTTTATCACTATACAAAATTAAGTTAAAATCGGTTGAGTACTTTTTGCGTGAAACGCGCACATCGATTTGACTAAGTTTTATTATAGGTATAGATAAGAATAAATATTGCGAGTGTAACTTAGGAGATAGACATATACTATTCAGAACTTTTCTGTAGGACTTTTCAAGACCTACAATTTTAAGTATATTGTTTTGATGTATGTATGTCTTAAGGCTTAGCCAGCGGAAGGTTTCTAGAGAGGACTCGATAAAACCAGTTATTGTATTTTCCCTTGGGAAAGAAAGATTTTCTTGAAATAAAAGGTATCTAGGCAGTGGTATCCCAGTGGTAACGCGCTCGCTTGGGAAACCGAGTGAAGCAAGTAGTTCAAATCCCGGGTCTCGCACCTCTGATATTTTCATGTGCGAATCATTTCTAACACAATTACCATTTGTCTTAACGGTGAAGGAAAACCTGCATGTCTGACAGAACCTAGCAAGCTTTCGAAAGACATGTGAAGTCATCAAACATCAAAGGAAGCTAAAATAAATAAATAAAAAGTATCAGCTTGAAAAAATGCCTAAAAATGTTATAGTTTTCACTTTGATAAAAAACAAAATATGAATCGATACCTCCTTCTTGTTTAGTTAGTAGGTCCTTTTTAAAGTAAAAACTTCCATGGGCAGGTTTGGATGGGGAGTAAATTCATGTAAGTCGTCATCGACATGGTCACGTGACGTGTTAACGCTAACACTAAGAGTACTGATAGATGTCTAAACCAGATAAATTAATTTACAAATTTTAATTTAAGATCAAACAATTTATTTGAATATCCAAAAATAACAACTGTTTGTTAAGTTTTCACTTCTTTAGGCACTCCTTATAACTGCTTTTTATAATTTTGTTTGTTTGTATTAGTAGGTATGTCATATGCCACAATTACATACCTAAATTGTGAAATCATTTTCGCATTGCGGTCCCATTTGCATTTTAAGATAACATATCATCCCGAAGGGTGGGACACGTATTTTTAAACTTTTTAGTTAATAAATAATAATTTTTACTTGCATTATTTTATACATATTTTTATGGAAAGCAAAACACAGATAATAGTGCCTGTGCGCGCCACTTAGGCCATTGGATATTGCAATATTAAGAAATATATGCTAACTGGAACAAGTTGTAATGATTGAATTAAAAATAACATACATACGTATGAACAGAATTCAGTATCTTTTTTGTTTTTCGTTGCTCTATGTTCCATGCTGAAGTGTTATGGATACCAGATAGTTGATACATTACACATATATAACTTTAAATACATACATATTATAAATATAAACACCCAAGACTGGAGCACGGTAATGTTATACTTTACTTAAGTTGAACCTTTGTTTAATCTTAATCGTTTTTGTTTTTCATTACTTATATTGTTTAAATAATTTTAAATATTTAATAAATGGCAATACATATTTTAAATATTAATAATAATCAATGTTCCAAAAATTGATTGATCAATATTATAAAGTGCCTTGAGCTGGAGTCGGTCTCATTCCACGACCGGTTTCTGTAGCACACCGGCTGCTGTGGTCCCAATAGTCTTTATATGTTGCACACTATCAACGATAAGTGAAAGGACAAACCGATATAATTGCTCTCTGTGTTATTCGATTTTGTAATAATTCAAATTTAGAGATATCAAAAAAATATTTTTTAGGCGATCTCTTTCAAAATAAGTCAAAATTTAATAAGCAAACTTATTATTTTTGATGAGCTTGTCTACGCCCAAGCAATGCTCTAGATTTAAATATAATGATAGAAATAAAATTGGTATAGGTTTATTTTAATAGTCAATTATAATGTGCCGTCCATTACGATACTATGTTTCTAATATGTTTTTAGAGCGTGGAAAGTAGAAAGTTTCAAAAAGTAGGTAACTTTAATAAACATACTTCGAATGGTATCTATTTGCCTAAATTATATTTGAAATACTTTTTTTTCATACGGTTTCTAATATTATACTTGGTGTTAAATACAATTTAATAATTATATTTTTAAAAGACAAATAATTAATAAATACCTAGTTTAAAAATCAATTTACATCCGGTTAAGTGTAGTCTAGTAAATAGTTTTTTTTTGTTTGTACATCATTACAAGAATTCGATGCGTTTATTTATTTATTTATTGTAGATATTTATATATAAAAACTTCTTTTTTTTTATAAAAAATATGAATTCATAAATAGATATTGTAATTATAACTCCTTTCGCTTTTTAAATAAAATTAGTAGCTATATATGGATGTGGTTGTAATAAATAAATTAAATAAATTAAAATTAATTAAAACTAATTAAAAAAAAACGTATGATTGTGTTAATTGAAATCGAATTAAATGTGTAACGTACATACATACAAATACCATTTTCCACGAGCACGAAGTATTTGAATATCGTAAGATAGTGTGGTTCCATTATATGCGGTAGGATTCTTTAGGAGGACATAATTGCCGGTCGGTGACCCTGTTTAGTTCCTCCCACTAAAACAGCGTTAAATCAATTGATGTTATTACAATTGGAACGCATCTTTCATCGTAACCTGCTTTGCTTACATTTCATAGGGGAGTCTCTAGCAACCCGAAAATAGTTGTAAATTAGTACAATGTAGAATTTGTTATTCAAGTTTATTAATTTTGATTAATACTTAACTATATATATAACTTAAATATATTAACTATATAGTTATATTAACTCTATATATATATATATGTATATATCTTGATTAATACTTAACTATATAGTTACTATGTTACCCTTTAATATATTTAATTCAACTCTATTAAAATACTAAGCAATAATAAGTTTAAAAAAAGTGTTTCATACAATTGTTTTGTCTTAGGGACCTCAGAAGCTTTAAGCTAACGTAAGATAATATGATGATGTTAATTTTATCTTGTATTACTTTCTCGCTATTCAATAGTTTGACCTACTTTTTTATTTTATTTATTTGGTAGAGTTAGGTGTTTTATTGTTATTGTAATTTTTAAGGTCCTATAAATGGCTCGCATAGATTAAATCGTTTAATTTATAAAATATCGAGTTGCCATTATTTAAATTCATTAATTATTTAGTAATTGTGGTTATCGTTATGTTTGAAATAACATTTGATGTCTATAAAGTAAAAAAAGTATGCGATGAAATTAAAAAGCCAAGGAAACCTGAACTAAGTGGTTCATTTTAGAGGAATAGATTTTTGAAGTCACCATAAAAGTTCAACCAGAAAATAAAACCAAACAAAATTAAAAAATATATCCGTCCTAATCGAATTTCTTTTTTTGTGTAGTCGATTAAATGTATTAATTATTATCACCAGCTACAAAATACATCAATCATCATTGTAATAATAAATTGTTTTTATAAAATTATCTCAAATATTTTATATTATCTATTTTGCTATTCTTCGTATTAATAAAGTTGAATTTTATTTGTAGAGTTATTAATCACGTTCGATAGTCAAAATATCGTCCTATACGTAATAACTAACACGAAACATTCAGAACAATAAAACATTTCGAACAATTAAATAGAAATTTACTTAAGCATACCTTATCAATATTATCAATGGGTATATCTGTCTTACGCTCTACTTTGTCAGTAGATAGCATTTTATCATTTGTGTGAACTTTACGAGGTTATGTTTTATTAAATGTTAAAATTAACCGTCGAAAATGATATAAGAATAATAATAAATTATATATGTAATATAAATGTAAATTCAACTACGTTTATCGAAGTTGAAGTGTCCTAAACAAATTCCTTAAGTAGTTAAAATAATACTGAAACGAAATGTTTAAACAGAAATAATTTTGCATCTTAAAAAAATTTTTTTAACACACTAGTAATAGCAGTCAATAATAAATTGATCGCACTCAAACTTTTATAACTGTATAAAAAAAAACAAAACAAATACTTTTAGAAAGTTTACCCACCATTCAGCTTATTGATAATGTTACATATCCTATCTGCAGATCTAATAAATTTCTGACTTTAATTAAATTCGTTCCGGTTCCATGTAATATCTAATTAACTATCGAGGAAGTAAAATTATAACAATTACAGTTTTAATTGGATAGAGCACCAATGTCAGTTCACAATGTCCAAAAGCCGCCTTTCGATCTTCCAAAAACGTATAGTCACAAACAATTTCAATATAAAATCGCACTTTTACGTGAGGAATTACAACGAGTTTGATCGAAAACGATTAGTTGGAGTCCGATGTGAAGGCACGCTAGACACACGTGCGGACCGCGCGGGAAGACTGCGTGGCGGTCGCGGCGCGCGCTGCGGCGGGGGGCCGCTAGTACGTGAGCCGGCCGAGCCACGCCGGGGGCGCTATTGTTGCTTCGGACCTTCGGCTGAAGCCACATTAAAAGCCTTTAAAGCCACTACGCGAATTTGTTCACCGATCTTATCAAAAGGGTATTCCCGATGCCTTTTAGGGCTAGGAGCTATACTGCTTCGAATAGCCCATAATATGTTACTTTTAACCATTTGCAAAGGATCTATGTAGAGCACATTATTATTGAATGTTATGAACTTTTATGATGTTAATTGAAAAAAGCTAGAATTATTCATAAGCAATACTGTTTAACTTATTAATTTTACATCAACAGTCTTAAATTATAAGCAATTTGAAAGTTATATTTTCAAGATAAATTGAATACTACTTCAATCCTTAATTAAGTATTAGTAACTTAGTGACGAGTATGTGCAAAACATTGAGTAATGTTATTAAATTTAATTTCAGTAATATTAAATAGAAAATTAAGAAAGAGTTCTGATTGAATTTATTTTATCAATCTATTTCAGTCATGGAGTTGAGAAACTTTTGATCCTATAGATCTTTTGTGGGACTTAACTTTTGTAAGCTTTTGCAAATGTGCCAACAACTCATTTTATTTTATCGTAAATGGATCTGTTAGGGTAATTTATTTAATATGTACTCATTTTCGACTTATCAGGGAGCAATGTCAGGTAATTTAGATGCATATATTGTTTTAATAATATTGCAAACTTTAAATGTATGAAAAATTTAAAGACCATTCATTCTTATGCTCTTGTTTTTATTAATATTTTTAAACAAATAACATTTAAAAAAATCGAACAATCATGAGTCTGACTTGCCACAAACTAAAATAAAATATTTTCGAAAGCACATAATTACATTTATCAACCGTAAAAATAATTTTCTTAGTATTTTTAAGATATCATGAAAAAATACGTCACAACATAAATGCCAATAAAGCGTGTTACATATAATATTTTTTATTAGTCTGAAAATATCTCATATTTCAAAAATTACTTTATTTATCTTGAATAAAATTAAGTAGAAACTTATAAAGTATTTTTTAAGTTCTATAACTTTATTTTAAGGGTCCCGTTTATGCCTTTTGGCAAAAAACTTGAATGAAAACATATGATTATGCAACATTATTATTGTTATTACATTTGATTTTTAAAGTTAGTAATTGAGGTATTGTTTTATGTGTGTATAATTGTTCTAATAGTATAAAAGCGCGTATCGGATTTGTATTTGATATATTGTGGTTTTATTGTAGAAAAGAGTTTTTTAATGATAATAGTCTAAGATCCCGATGTAGTTGGTGGTATATTTGGTCCGCAATAAAAATAATATTAAATATTAACATCGACTGCGATAGTAATAATAAATATGAAAATGATTTTGATTAGGTAGGAGAAACTTTGAAGGTTGCATGTCTTTGGAAATCTAACATAGCTTCGATGACATTGCTATCATTGTAGCGGGCCAAAAAATTGAGAGGGTACGCAAATACAAATATCTAGGGACATGGCTTAATGACACCTGGAGCTGTGAACAGGAGGTAAAGACTCGTATAGAAATAGCTCGAAGTGCCTTCTGCGCGTTAAAAAAGTACTTTGCAATCGCAGACTTAAGATCCCTATGCGTATACGACTCCTACATTATTATATCTGGCCTATACTTCTTTACGGATGCGAGGCGTGGACAATTAGAAAAGACCTCAAGAAACGTATAGAAGCTTTTGAGATGTGGGCATACAGACGTATGTTGGCCATTAGTTGGACTCAAAAGGTCTCGAACGTAGAAGTTCTGCGACGCGTCAACCAGAAACGGCAACTTTTGGAGACTGTCAAGAAAAGAAAAGTTGCATATCTCGGACACGTGCTTAGGCATACAAGATATGAGCTCTTACAACTCATTATGATGGGAAGGTTGCCGGAAAGAAAGCCGTTGGTCGCAGAAAAAAGTCTTGGCTGTGTAACATTCGAGAATGGACAGGAAAGAAGCTGATTTATCCGAACTCACAATATTGAAATTAAATTCAGGATTGTCATCGTTACTTTCATTATTAGTTACTTGCAAAACATCTTGAACGCTTAAGGGTGTTGGATCTGCAAGAAATCTAATCGGCTTCAGTAAATCCCCATCCTTTTGCTATTCTTTCTCTGGCATTAGTTGGACTATTAAAAATTCGAGTTGTGAAAACATCTAATCTGGAGTTGCTTTGGTATAATAACCCTATAACATTCAATTAGTAATAAAATTATTTACATTTTGATACTTGGTTGGTTCGGAAAACGATACGTGCAATTAACTACTTTAATTTACCTGTTTATACCTGGATGTCATGTTATGTGGACTCGAAAAAGGCCGCCAACCGTATGATGGTATTTTCTACAAGCCTTTTACTTTCGATTCATACTAAGTCTAAAAAACAGTTAATTAAAAAAAATAAGAACAGCTTGGACCAATTTTTTGGAGACAGACTCCCTTTTTTTAACGTTGGGAAACAATGGAACCTCCTCCGTCTTATTGGGGCGTCACAGGATTGCTTACGCATTCAATCACGACGCACCGACGGCAGGTCTATTGAAGCCGACCACAAAAACTATGGGGTTGCTCCACAGTCCATTCTGCTATTAGAGGAGTACCAAGAGCAACCCGCATGGCACACTGCCCACCGAGGTCAGCCGCCTTCCAGTGCGTTTCTTGGCTTCGCGCCCGGCTGTATTGCCGGGCACTACTGAGTCCCCCCACCACGACAAGATGAACGCATGTTGGAGGGTGACAACCCCCCTGGGTCGTGTTTATCAATATGTATTATTGCTTAAAAAATATATTTCCCCTGGACATAGATTTAGGGGTCCACCACCTACATGTGCATCTTCTACTATAATTGTAAATATTGGAATGGAAGAGAAATGATTTCTAGTATATCATGTCTATTTTTAGGTTCTATTTATATAGGTACTATATTACTTTACGATGTAAAAAAATGTATTTTGGGATTTTTATTTATTCAGCATGTTATGTGACGTTTTTTGTCTGTTTGTTCGTGTATTTCTCCAGAGCCGATAAACATAATTCAAATATAAATAAGCATTTTTTTGTAGAGTTAATTAATAAAAGAAGAATTAAATAATTCTTAATTAAAAAAAATAATAATTTATCATTCAGTTAAGAGATCTAATGATACAAATTTAACGCAGAGTATTTGTTCTACGTGCACTGCTCTACACAGGATCAGATCAGAATCAGATTCAGTTATTGTAATTTATATAGAAATAAAGTAGTAGCAAGTTGCCCCCTTAGTCCCATAAAAAAAAGCAAAACGAATTACAATTATGTATTCTTAATGAGAAATATCAAATAAACATTTTTTAGTAATTTTATATTTCTTAAAGCTCCTAAAAAGCTTCTATCAAAATCGTTAAAAAGATTTGATAAGTTAATTTAAATTATTGTTTATACAACTAAATTATTATTGCATACCTACTGCATGTTACAATAAATAAAAAAAAAATATAAAAAATGTACAGTTCTCATTGTAATATAACCATAATTGAAATTAATGAATAAAATGATGTAAACTAAAATAATATATGATAAGATAAAATTTAAAAATGCATTGCATGTTTTAATTTAAAAAAAGAAATGATTTTATATATTGTGATATTTATTAAGAAAATAAATTCAGGCTTCATTATTATTATTATTATACATATAACCAAATACCATGAGCTTAAATAGCTCTATCGTTATACGCCAAAATATTATCATCTAAATTCATATAATATGTTAATCGTTATGACGTAGCTTTACCCGGGTGTTTCTGAAGATGTGTTCTTTTTTTATAAAACCGGTTAAATATTAGGCTCGCGCAGCGAGGGTTCCGCGCTACCTACGGCTACCATTCGTATTACAAAATATGATTATATATTTAAAACCCCCTAGTAATTTGAAAGGTAGGTGTCCCATTTAAACCTCTATATCTGCGTGTCTGTGTACCGGCTGAACTGCCGGATACTAATGAGTCCCCCCACCACGACAAGATACACGCCACTTTTGCTGGGTACCTTTTTATGGGGTGTCGCACGTCCCGACGGCAGGTCTGCTGAAGGAGACGGCAACAACCATGTCATGGGGTTGCTCCACAGTCCACTCTGCTATCAGAGAAGTACCAGGACCAACCAGCATGGTACACCGCCCATCAAAGTGGGCCACCTCCCTGTACGTTTCTTGGCTTCGTGCTCAGCTGAACTGCCGGACGTTAATGAGCCCCTCACCACGCCAACGTGCGTTCACGTTGGGGGGGACATTAAGCCTACCTATCTCAATGTAATATTTTGTATATATCTCAAGAAATTTCTTTTTATAACAACCCAATCGTCCGGTCCAGTTAGCTAGGTTAAATTTTATGCACACATGGGATCGATGGGGACTTTTCACAATTTCATTATATGGTATCCCTAACGTTCATATAAATTTTCAGCTTCTTGGGAATTTTTGCAAGGATGAATATCTAATTTGACCGGACACCAAGGCGAACAAATGACATACACAGGCCACCATGTCTCTATCAATGATAGTTTTATATTTTCTTTAAATATGTTGAATAGATTACACGTTTTGTGAATAGTTTCATTAATTCAAAGTTAATGTTTTCTAATACGTGTAGGCATAAGCATAAATCCATACTAATATTATAAATGCTAAAGTGTGTTTGTTTGTTTGTCCTTCTTTGACGTCGAAACGGAAGTGATGGATTGGCGTGACTTTTTGTGTGAAAATAGTTGGAGGACTGCAGAGTGACATAGGCTATTTTTAACCGCGGGAGATTATTTAATTCCCACGGGAAAACACGTTATAAAAAAATACAAAAAAATATGATCAGAATTACTTGAAACTTGGTATTAATGCTATTCAATAAAATTAATTAAGTACGTGTTTTAGTATTTTTCGAAATTCATCCTTTAGATAGAAATAGGGGATGGAATTTTGTATGAAACTACCTTTTTAGATCTTTGTGTAGTTTTAGCGCGAGTGAAGCCGCGGGTTCTGCTAGTAATTAAAAAAGGAAAGTAT